ATTTCACAAGCAAACAGTTAACAGTTGGCAGTTTTTTAACAGAAAACTGTTAAACAGAGCATCTACTGCGTGAGAATGAGAGATAATGGATCTACTTTCACATTCGCTCTTGGATAGGGAAACCTTTACGCACAGACATCAATTAGCCTATAAATAAATACTTTTGTTTGTTAAGCGCAAATATTTGTTTCAAAACTATTTCTAAATTCAGTTCTAATTTCCAGCAAACGAATAAATGAATAATAATAACAAATGTGCTCAAAAACCTGAGTTATATCCTAAAACACATGCTGTGCCCCATATGGTCTAAAACCTGACAGGTGGGCAAATCTAAGCTTGTTTTTAATAAAACAAATATAAATATGGATATAATAAATAATACTGCTAATAATAATAACATTATACAAAAGCAAATTGTTATGAATGAACTGAAAAAGCCTCCCGAGATGAAGAAAACAAAAAAGCAGTGATTTTTCATATTTATGTAGGCTAGAAAATAATATGTTTTGTAAAATTTTAATCCTTTATATTTATATTCTATATCTATTCTTATTATATACTATATATATATCCTTAATATTTACATTTTTTCATATGTAAAGATATTTGCCTATTGCTCTCTTGTGCGTATTAAGCAGTGTGTAAGTGAGGCGCAACTCCGCGCCGGAGTTTAGACCGGGTTTGTTTGGTCTAATGAAAAATCTATTATAGTTTCTCAAAATAGCAACGCGCCAGCAGTGCGCCTCAGAACGCCTTCATTTTAGACCAGAACGCCTATGGGCGCACAAATGAGCACTAATGCATTTGCTAATTAAACAGCGTAGCGCAACGCCTCAAAACGACTCTTGTGCCAAGCTGAAACTACCAAAAGACTATTGCGCCGTGCCTTGCGCCACATTGCGCCGGGTGTATGATAGGGCCCACTATGTTTTTAATCATAAAATAAAAATATCCTCAAAGCGAAGAGTTATGAAAGTGTTTGTACCCTTCTGGCAGGCGATGTCGTCCCCTCGGTCGATGAGCAGGTATCGAGGACTCTCCGGGAACCAGGGCAGAGTCAGAAGCTGCAGGACGGCTGGAATACAGATGGTGGACAAGAGGATCGGCCAGTACTCATCCTTTCCTAACAATTCTCTGACATACACAAACAACAACAATACACATTACTGCCATGCAACTGTAAACATGCATAAAAATTGCATGAGGGGAAAAACATCCCATGAGTAAACCAGAGCAAGTGAAGCAGTCTTGTCTTGTGTGAACACAGCATTACTTACAGGATGGTTTTTGCCTCACAAATTATTCAATCAAGCTGAACTTGTGCAGAAGACTTGCTTGTGGTGAATTCCACACATTCGCAGCAAACGTGACTTTGCAACTTGTTATTTACTGGAATACCTTAATTCACTTTAGGTGTGAACCCAGAATAAGGCTGTGCCTTATTAATAAATAATATAGTAATTCTGCGAGTGTGATTTTTATTTTTATATCTTTATAAATAATAACTTGAATTCTTGTTGATCATTTGGAAAAGTGTCAGAATGTTGATTTTTCAGATGAATTATCTGTTGAGCTGCATCCCAATCATAACAAATGCTGCAGAAGACATATTGGAACCTGCATGGACCCAAGATTCTCATAGAAATCAGTCAAGTTTGGTGAAGGAAAAATCGTGGTTTGGGGTTACATTTAGTATGGGGGGGTGCAAGAGATTTGCAGAGTGGATGACAACATCAACAGCCTGAGGTATCAAGACATTTGTGCTGCCCATTTCATTACAAACCACAGGAGAGGGCAAATTGAAAGCAAAGAAGGTCAAGGTTTTCCAGAATTGGCCAGCCCAGTCACTAGACATGAACATTATTGAGCATGTCTGGGATAATCTTGATGAACTCTGGGAGTCCTGCAAGAACGCTTTCTTTCCCATTCCAGATGACTTTATTAATGAGTTGAGTCATTACAGAGATGTATGGATGCAGTCCTCCAAGCTCATGGAATTCATACACAATATTCATTCTTAATCCACTGCACCATGACTTTATATTCTACACTGGACATTATTTCTGTTAAGTGAAAAGACTTTTGTCTAAGCAAAGTCAGACCTTACTGACCTAATTAAATAGTTAAAAATTAAGACACAATCATATTTTATTTTGGTAAAATAAGCGTAATCTAGAGGCCTTTGCCTTTCATATAAGACACTTCTGATACCAAATGATCAACTAGAAGTCCAGTTATTATTTTTCGTTCCTAAAACTTGGATAAAATGAATTTTCATTGCCAATAGTTCTTTGTCAATCATCTTAATATGCAAATTTCCTGCTCATTTTTTGTGGCAGAAAGGATTTTCTATATATATTGGGGGGGGGGGTGGAGTGGAGAGCATGAGACTGATTCCAGTGACGCTCCAGGGACAGACGAGTCTTCGCTGAGGCCAGCTTCCAGCCTCCACTGCTGAGACTGCAGCTCTGCACAAGACTTTTGGCCAGCGGAGAAATTAAAATGGTTGTGCCGAACTGAGTCTGGTTCTCTCAAGGTTTTTTTTCTTCACTCTCCTATTGGTGAAGTTTTTTTCCCTCTCCGCTGTCGCCACTGGCTTGCATGGTTCAGGATCTGAAAAGCTACTCATCGATGAATTTGCTCTTCAGTGTTTGGACTCTCAATAACGACTTCAAACCACACTGAACTGAGCTAAACTGAACTGAACTTAAACACTAAAAACTGAACTACCCTGATCCAGTTAATGACCATTTATGTGAAGCTGCTTTGACACAATTTTCATTGTAAAAGTGCTATACAAATAAAGCTGAATTGAATTGAATTGAATATACTTTACTGTAGGTAATCACAAATTAATAATTGAACGGCAATAGTAATTGATATAAATAACAAAGCACCAAAAATTCATATTAGTGTCATTTCTGAAGGATCATTTAACAATGAAAACATTCAGCTTTGCATCAAAAGAATAATCATAAGAATACGTTATGTGAGAATAAGAGACTTTCTCTCCCATTGTCAGACATTTTAAGATGAGGATCAAATTAGTAATTAGTAATCTTGGACAAATATGCATAGACTTAAAAAAAAATCTGCGTAAGATTATTTTTGCTTTTGTGTGATGCTGCACTATTTAAAAACTCCAAATACAAATTGTTTCATACTTTGGAAATTTGGACATTCATTTGCAAATGCTTTGAAAAACCAAAACAAAAAAAAAATGTTGCGATTACATTAGTAGTATTTCATGTGTAAAAGAGGTCCATTTGTATGTATGAGCTGTTCAGTATGAAGCTCTGCTCACATAGCAGTCATTTATAAACCAATCTACTTTCTGCTGGCAAGAGTGGTGAATTCACAAGACCAGCTTAAACATGAGCGAATTTTGTGGGGTGATTATTATAGTTTTTTCCCCATCAAATGAATGCTCCTACTGAAATGACTGGATTCCCAACAAACAAACAAATCACATTTACCCACTGTGTTATTTTTACGAACCAAATATAAACATTCTGTGAGCATACTGGGAATGTTAGCAGTTCATGCTTTCCCTTTGATTTGAACCCACAACCTTGCTATCATAATATACCATCTACAAGATCTATAATCTACAAGATCTACAAGACAGCACAAGTTTTGTTCTTACTTGAGGCCCATAACCTGTCCTGTCAGGATTCCTCCGGTGATGAAGATGGAGGTTCCCATGGCCATTGCTCCACGCAGAGCCCGAGGTGCAATTTCTCCAATGTACAGAGGCTGAACACATATCGCAATACCTGTTCAGAAAATCAAAGGTCAGTTATTTGAATACATAGAAATGCACATGTTTTGTGACTTTTTTAATTCATTTAAGTTTGTTTAGTAATTTGGGATTTAAAGGGCACCTATTATGCAAAAATTACTTTTATAAGGGGTTTAAACAGTTGTGTGACAACAGTGTGTGAATATAAAGTGTAAAAGTAAATTTTTATATAATCGCACGTGATAAAAACTGCAGAAACATTTTGATCGACATTCTCTCTTTGCACACACATTACTGCCATGCAACTGTAAACATGCATAAAAATTGCATGAGGGGAAAAACATCCCGTGAGTAAACCAGAGCAAGTGAAGCAGTCTTGTCTTGTGTGAACACAGCATTACTTACGGGATGGTTTTTGCCTCACAAATTATTCAATCAAGCTAAACTTGTGCAGAAGACTTGCTTGTGGTGAATTCCACACATTCGCAGCAAACGTGACTTTGCAACTTGTTATTTACTGGAATACCTAAATTCACTTTAGGTGTGAACCCAGCATAAGGCTGTGCCTTATTAATAAATAATATAGTAATTCTGCGAGTGTGATTTTTATATCTTTATAAATAATAACTTGAATTCTTGTTGATCATTTGGAAAAGTGGCAGAAGGTCGATTTTTCATATGAATCATCTGTTGAACTGCATCCCAATCATCACAAATACTGCAGAAGACCTACTGGAACCAGCATGGACCCAAGATTCTCATAGAAATCAGTCAAGTTTGGTAAAGGAAAAATCGTGGTTTGGGGTTACATTTAGTATGGGGCGTGTGAGAGATCTGCAGAGTGGATGACAACATCAACAGCCTGAGGTATCAAGACCAAAAACTGCTGAAACATTTTGATCGACATTCTCTCTTTGTACATGTTCTCAGAGGTGGAAAGCCCCACCCACTGGTGACAATCTCTTCCTCATTAGCATAAACAGCCCTGAGTGAGAAGCAGTCGTACGTCAAAGGAGATTTCTCCAAAAGAAATCAAAAAAGATAAACCTGCCAAACTGAACAGTGTGTGTTATACTTTATATATGTATACAGTTAAACTGTAGTAAGTTTTGCAAGACATTATCTGTTTATATACATCTATAAATAATTTGAACGTTAAACAGTTGAAGACAAAGTAGTAGCAAGGAATTTTTCACAGGATGTGTAAAGACTGTATACACTAACTGACAAAAGTCTTGTCGCCTATCCATCAATAAATAATAACTTGTCTTCTAGTTGATCATTTGGTATCAGAAGTGGCTTATATGAAAGGCAAAGGCCTCTAGATTACGCTTATTTTACCTAAATAAAATATGATCATGCCTTGATTTTTAATTATTTAATTAGGTCAGTAAGGTCTGACTTTGCTTAGATGAAAGTCTTTTCACTTAACAGAAATAATTTACAATATAGAATATAAAGTCATGCTGCATTGGAAAAAGAATGAATATTGTGTCTGACTCCCATGAGCTTGGAGGACTGCATCCACACATCGTTCATGTCTGGTGACTGGGCTGGCCAATCCTGGAGCACCTTGACCTTCTTTGCTTTCAGGAACTTTGATGTGGAGGTTGAGGTAAGAGAAGAAACACTATCCTGCTGAAGAAGTCACCCTCTCCTATGGTTTGTAATGTAATGGGCAGCACAAATGTCTTGATACCTTACGCCCCATTTACACAGGGCTTCATCGTCAACGCTTGACAGAGGGCGTGTCTGAAGTATGGGCTGACGCGATCCTCATAGCAGCGTCAGCCAATGAAATTAGTCAGCAATAGGCCACTGTCTAGCTGGTGTGTTTGCATACAGCAATCTGATTGGTTGACGCTTCCGTCGGCCCTTGAAAAGTTGAGCAAGTCCTAACTTTTGCAGCAACCAACGCCTCTGAAGCGGAGCTGATGGATCCACAATGCAGTTCGGCAACGCCTGACGTGACTTATTTAAAGTGATTGGGGCGTAAAGGCTGATTTATACTTCTGCGTCAAACGCACGAGCATGCTACAGCGCTGACGCATAGCCCTACGCCATGGCCGTCGCTGACGTGCACCTCTCAAAAAATGTAACCACACGTCACAACGACGCGTAGCGCAAGCTCTGTGATTGGTCGGCTTCGTAGCGCTGACGAGTCTCGGCGGGACTGAGAGCCGCGCGAATGGTGCGAGCCTGATGGAGCGATTGTTTACAAGTGTGGAGTCCCGTGAAGGAGCTTCAGATGGAAAGTTTTGTTTTGTGTTTACCTCATAGTTAAAGTTGTTGCACGTCCGCTGGTTCCTGCCTCAAAATGAGCGAGTTTGAGCCACTTGTACATCCAGGAAGTGTTCAGGAAAAGCAAAACAGCAGCGAAGAAACTCGACACAGAGACACATTAACACCTCACTGCCAACTAGCGTTTTGGAAGTGTTAATGCAGACCAACAGAGACAGCGCGCAGAAGTATAAATGCACAGCTACGGGCGTTGCATGCGCCGTGGGTTACGCCGGTCACTTGACGCAGAAGTATAAACCAGGCTTTAGGCTGTTGATGTTGCCATCCACTCTACAGATCTCTCGCATGCCTCTATACTGACTCTACGTAACCCCAAACCATGATTTTTCCTTCACCAAACTTGACTGATTTCTGTAAGAATCTTGGGAATCATGCGGGTTCCAATAGATCTTCTGAGTATTTGTGGTGATTGGGATACAGTTCAACAGCTGATTCATCTAAAAAAATCTGATCAACTAGTTATTATTTCTTGCTCTTACAACTGAGATTGACGACAAGACTTTAGACGGGTAGTGTATATATGCGCTTTATTTTTCATTTTTGTATTATTTTTATTATTCCTTTAACATATTAAAATACAATATGAATTTCATAATCATTATGCCAGACTTCAGTAGTTTCCATCACCAGTTTTATGCACATCTTGAAGTATTGCATCAGAAACAAGTAATGAAAACAGCAAAAAGACAAATTTTTCCAGTCAATTAAGGTGTTTTTTTTATAGTTTTGAGTAAAGTTACTCTTAAAGTTATTGCAACTGTAAAAAAAAATACATTCACATTACTTAAATGAATATTTAAGTAACATATTTAATTAAGTTTTTTAAGTGACTCAAGATTTTATTATATTACTTTTACATGTAACTTTACTCAACACTGGTTTTTTAATGCTACAAAAATAATAGTCGATAGACATGCATTTGTTGAATAATTGTTTTGTGTTATTGCATCCAAAATGGTGAAAAGCCTTGGAGTAATGATTGATGACCAACTTAACTTCTCTGACCACATTTCTAGAACTGCTCGATCGTGCAGATTCGCACTCTATAACATCAGAAAGATCCGACCTTTCTTATCTGAACATGCAGCTCAACTCCTTGTTCAAGCTCTTGTTCTCTCCAGACTGGATTACTGCAACTCTCTACTAGCTGGGCTTCCAGCTAACTCTATCAAGCCTCTTCAGCTGCTCCAGAACGCAGCAGCACGAGTGGTCTTCAATGAACCTAAAAGAGCACATGTCACTCCGCTACTCATCCGTTTGCACTGGCTGCCAGTTGCTGCTCGCATCAAATTCAAAGCTCTGATGTTTGCCTACAAAGCAACTTCTGGCTTTGCTCCTTCTTATCTGCTCTCGCTTCTGCAGATCTATGTGCCCTCCAGAAACTTGCATTCTGTGAATAAACGTCGCCTCATGGTTCCATCCCAAAGAGGGAAGAAATTTCGCGAACGCTCACGCTTAATCTGCCCAGTTGGTGGAATGAACTCCCTAACTGCATCAGAACAGCAGAGTCACTCGCTATTTTCAAGAAACGACTAAAAACTCAACTATTTAGTCTCCACTTCACTTCCTAATCTGCAATTGCCTCTCTGGATATCACACTAACTGTACCAAAAACATTTAAAATAAATAAAAAAAATTACTAATGCTTTCCTTCTTAGACTTTACAGACCTGAAACTTGCCTATAACACTTATTCATTGTTGCTCCTATAGTTGTGTAAATTGCTTCCTTGTCCTCATTTGTAAGTCGCTTTGGATAAAAGCGTCTGCTAAATGACTAAATGTAAATGTAAATGTGTTTTTTTGCAAACTTTGAAAAAGGTCACTTCATTTTAGGATGGAAATCTAGTCATCCTTCAGAAATCAACCTAATGTCCATATTTTTTACATTTCTTCTCATCATCAAAGTGGTTTAAAATGGTTGTGCTTCAAATTTTGTGTTGAATTTACCTGCGTTTACTCCTGTCAGGAAGCGTCCAATGACTAAAAGCTCAAAAGTGCTTGCAGGATAACTTAAACCCATGAACAAAGCAGCCAACAGAGCAAAGGTGTTGTTGAACAGTAGAGTCCCTTTCCTGAAAAAAAATCAGCTCAGCACTGTAAAACAAATCCTTTGTTCTACACAATCATTAGTGTTGGGACAACATGAAGGAAATAAGTTAACAGTTACCATAAAACAATTAATTTCTCCCAAAAAGCTCAAGAGTTGTTTCAGCTCATTTTAAATAAGTCATTTGAACAAACAACAGTGTATAATATCTTCATAACTGATGCCTGCACATTTAATGATATCCTTTACAGCATTTTGATCTTCAGTTTACCTTCCGAATCTAATAGCCAGTGTTCCTCCGACAGACGCTCCTACAAGCCCACCGATAGTGAAGATGGAGACGATGATGGACCAGAGGAGGGTTAACATATCACTGGAGATTTCAGTGCTGTAGCGCTCCGTCCAGGTCTGATTAATAAAGTTCTGCACAGCCTGAGAGAAACAAACACACATACAGTATGAGAGAGGAATAAACACTGGCTCACTAAAAAAACAGCGTCATACACTGACAAACAAATGCTGGGTTCCACAAAATATCTTCATTTTGTCCCAACACAAATCGATTCGGTTAACTTAATTGGTTTTACGAATTTAAGTGGATTGAGCATGAAACAATTAAGATGTCCCCCAAAAAACTTAAGAATTGTGTTTTTTTAACTCATTTTAAATAAGTAGTTTGAACAAGCAGCAACAGTAATTTTTTGAGTGTAGAAAAACCGTAAAACTGTATAAAGTGTATGAGTTAGCCAAAATGAAATAATAACCTGACAATAAATAGTGTAATAAAATGTTACTTTGGCTAATCGTCAAAGAAATATTTTACATTTGGTTTCATTTCAGTGTGAATTGAGTAAAGCCGAAATAAAAATGTATAAAAAGACATTTCATAATTATTATTATTAGTTATTTGTTAGCTATTATTGAGTATTAATTTAATAATGCATACTTAAAAAAATACTATTAATAAAAATAAGCATAACTAATTAATTTAATGTGTTAATAATGATTTTTTTATTAAATAATTTTTATTGAAGTAAAATATTTATTAAAATTTAACAGTTAGACTTATAATCTTCATTAAATAATTAATTAATTAATATTATTATTAAGTATTCATGAATTATTAACAATTCTAAAAATACTAATATTAAAAATAAACAACAAATACTTTGATAATTATTTAATAATGATTTTTTATTAAATAATAATAATCAATTACAATATTTATTAGCGTTCAATTGCTGGAAATATTAGAGCTATCATAATAATAACAGTAGCATTTGGATAAAAAAAATAATAAAAAGTCTTAAAAGTTTAAAAGTCTGTTTTCTTGTCTTAAAATGTCTATTACTAGGGTAAATGTAATACTTAAATAACACCTGCTTTAACTTGCGTTGCTTATTAATATTAATTGTAAATAATTATTATTACTATATTACTTCACAAAATCATATTTAAGTCAATAGGTTGTACATTCATACATGTTATACATAGGTTATACAGTTTCACTACATGTATATATGTGACAAATAAAGGCTTTTTTCATCATCATCATCATTCGTGTCAGTTTATTTGTAATATTAACTACTAAATGTTGAGTGAAAACTTTTTTTACATTAAAACATTTTATTTAAAATATTTACATATTTTATTAAAATATAATATTTTAATAACACTGTCTTTTTACTTGACAGTAGGAAAAATGTGTAAATAATAAAATATTATTGTAGTACTTTATTTACAATTTTAGAGTCATAAATAATTCAATATTTTACCATAATACTTTTGTCAAATTATTTGTAAAAAATTTTTAGAGAAAAATATTTTTCACCTTTTTCAATGTGAATTATATATCTTACATCTTACATGTCTAAAAAAAAGTCAATTACTAACCTAGGGTAAAGAACAAACATTAGGAAACCTAAAAGAATGACCCTTGGTTAACAATTAAAAAGTGTAAAAAGCCCAAATGTGGCTCATGCTGTCACATTTCCACCCAAAAAACTTTTACCAGGGACCAAAATCCACATTCACAATGATATATTAACTGATTTCACATCACATTCATTCTGATGAGCTGCAAACGAAACAGTATATTACACAAACATACAGTATATACTATATCTCTTCTGATGTATAAAAAATGGAAGATACACATTAATCACACATTCATTACCTTGGTAGGTGCATTTATTATGGATATATTGTAGCCATATTGAAATGTTCCACCAATCCCAGCTGCCCAAACAGCAAGTAGAAGATATTTACTGGGAACCTGTGGTGAAAAGAGTACAAAACAAACAAACAAAGAAAAATAAACATGTTTTTTTTTACTCACATTAACAGAGATGCATCAATTTAAACTTACAAATGTGATTTTATGTATACTGTGAAAAAATTATATGGCATAACAAAAAATGTTTTTATGTCCCTTTAACTTATTTTAATAAGTCAATCAAGTTTTACTTAAATATTTTAAGTAATACAAAGTTTAACTTAATTTTTTGACAGTTTGGTGTAAATAGAAAAGTTCATTTGATTTAACTAAAAATTACGGCAACACGATTTTTTTACAGTGGATAATACATGCAAGTAAATTAAATATTATAAATATCTTTTGCTAAAATAAAATCTCAAAATAGGAGTTAAATCATGTTCCTTTGTCATTCAGTGTACAGTTGAAGTCAGAATTATTAGCCCCCCTGTTTATTTTTTCCCCAATTTCTCTTTAACGGAGGGAAGATTTTTTCAACACATTTCTAAACATAATAGTTTTAATAACTCATTTCTAATAACTGATTTATTTTATCTCTGTCATGATGACAGTACATAATATTTGACTAGATATTTTTCAAGACACTTCTATACAGCTTAAAGTGACATGTAAAGGCTTAACTAGGTTAATTAGGTTTACTAGGCAGGTTAAGGTAATTAGGCAAGTCATTGTATAATGATGGTAGACTATCGGGGGGAAAAATTGCTTAAAGGGGCTAATAACTCTGACCTTAAAATGGTTTATAATAAAATTAAAACTGCTTTCATTCTAGCCGAAATAAAACAAATAAGGCTTTCTCCAGATGAAAAAATATTATCAGACATTCTGTGAAAATTTCCTTGCTCTGTTAAACATCGTTTGGGAAATATTTATAAAAGAAAAAAAAATTGTAGGGGGGCTAATAATTCTGACTTCAACCGTATGTGAAAGTTTGTTAACAGCATATTAAAATATGTTTAAGTGATTTAAGTCATTTAAATTTTCAGCTTGATGACAAACGGGTCAAATGTTGTGGTTTGAATGATATGGGCAAAATATTACTGAATATTTTAGTGCTGCACTGTTATTTTTACATATATACAGCTTTATTAATCAAACGATTATTGTTCGTAATATTAAACAGCTTCAGGTATATAAACAACAGTTACACTGAACACTGCGACACAGTGGCTCAGTGGTTAGCACTGTTGCCTCACAGCAAGAAGGTCGCTAGTTCGAGCCCCGGCTGTTGGCATTTCTGTGTGGAGTTTACATGTTCTCCCCGTGTTTCCTCCGGGTGCTCCGGTTTCCCACACACCCCAAACACATGCACTATAGGTGAAATGGATGAACTAAATTGGCCATAGTGTATGAGTGTGTGTGTGTGTGTGTGTGTGTGTGTAAATATGAGAATGTTTGGGTGTTTCCCAGTACTGGGTTGCAGCTGGAATGGCATCGGCTGTGTAAAACATATGCCGGATAAGTTTGCGGTTCATTCCGTTGTGGCAGCCCCTGATGAATAAAGGGACTAAGCCGAAGGAAAATTAATGAATGATGAGTAATAATAATATGACAAAAACCCATGACAACACATTTTGTATGTTACTTTAACTTATCCTAATAAGTTAATCAGGTTTCAACCAAATGTTTTCAGTTATACAAAGTTTGACAATATTTTTACCGATTTATTTAAGTTGAGATGAATAGAAAAGTTTATTTGATTCAACCAAAAAATAAGGCAACACATTTTTTTTTTAACAGTAAAGACACATTGTAATGTATGAAAAGATATTAACGCTGCATTACTTTGTATGGTATATGCAAATATGTGTGCCACAAATATACTATAAATTGTTAATTTACAGTTTTTTGCATTTATTTATGGCTAGAAATTGCATCATGGGACCTTTATCTTGTCTTTGTCGACTTTTAATGTTGAAAATTCAACTCTGCACTTTAACAAAGTGACTTTTATTGATGCTTTAGTCATTTTAAACTATATTGTAGAGGGTTTCTGCAGGTTTCACAGAGGTCAATTTAACACTTTTGAAGACTTTTTAAGACCATTATGAATGAAATTTTAGACCATTTTTCAAATAACCCAGATGGAAAAGATTTTTATTTGTGTATAAAAAATATTCAAATTTAATAAATGTAATAATACATTAATAATAAAAAATAAAAATATTTTAGATTTTATTTCTTAGCTAAATATTTTAAATGTTGTGTAAAAACAAGCAAGCTCTACTTGTATCCATACACAACAGAAACTTTCTTTTAAATAATTAAAAAAAATGAAAAAATGTTTTAAGGTTTAAAAACTATAATAAACTAAATACAACAATCTGTCCTGGTCAGTGTCCTCAGCAGCGGAGAACATTTAAACAAATGCTACTGTAAGGAAGATAATTAAACCATTATGATAAATAGAGTTTAAAATTACCTTTTAAATAAAAAGTTTAAAGTTTTACTGAGATGATTGTTGGTGATTGTATGGGTTTTGGCCAGATTTGATTGCAATACACGAACAAAGGAAAATTAAGACCTGTTTAAAAAACGATTTAAGACCAACAACACCATATTTCAGTAAATATAAGACTTTTTAAGGCTTAAAATTTGGATTTTGAGATTTAAGACATTTTAAGACACTGCAAAAACCCTGTTGTAGAGGAAATAATATTAGGAAATAATTCAGTTCCTAAAATAACAGAAAAAGTGTCGTCAAATTTACTAGATTACCATAATTTACAACACAAGCCCAGACTATACCACGTCAAACTAATAATAATGTCAATAAAAGTCACTTTTTTAACTTTTCAACATCAAAGGTTTTTTGAGGAAAGATCAATGTCAAATAATACAAATCAAAAGCATAAATAAATGAATAAAAAAGCAGGAATCACAAAATATGAAAGAAAAAAAAGTTAATTTAAAGACTTTTTTAAGAGTGATGCAAGAATATTACAGCACAAGGACTTGCACAACACCCTATCCATCACTGTTCATTATTAACTGAATGATAAACCAGCACCAACTCAAATAACGTTATAAATAAACAACTTCATAACCACATTGTTTATCTTTTATTTCAATCATACCTTAATTTGATGAACAGGTTCTCTGAAGTCTCTAAGTAAAGGCTCATACTCCTTAAATTCTCCGTTTTCTTTGCCCATTTTTGCAGCTCGCCCTTTAAAAAGCTTTAACATTTGACTTAATACTCTAAACGTCTCTTAATCTTGCCTGCAGTCTCTGAAATGTGAACTCATCCTCAGACAGAACCGCTTTTTAGAGCTCCGGAGTCAAGGTGCATAACAGATATATCAGCAGAAACACAATCGCGCTCTTGTTCAGAGCATGGACAGCGAAAAAACGGAGATAATTCAGGGTGAAATTCCCTTCAGAGCAGCTCTGGAGGATGCCTTTGGGATATGTTTGTCTTTTAAGTTTCAACACAAGCATGTCAATTGCTTTTCCACGCTCGGTCTTGTGGCTAATACATAACGTTAATGACTTGGCTGCAGATTCAACAAAATTGACGGTCGGCTACTTACCTTTTTTGCTAATGTTGTGGGCTGCGCTTCCGGGCCACTGATCGTAATTTCATTCATTTTTGACCGAAATACTAATTTTATTGTGTTGATAGAAAGACTGGCGATTATTCCTTCATGGTTTCTAAGTCTCACTGCAAAGATTAACTTTGTCTGGGCGGTGGGTTTGTGTTCAGTCATCATTAGTGTAATCATAAGCTTCGGTTTCACCATCACAAATACTTGAGGCGCGCCATTATACAGTTCTGCGTGTGAGATGGAGTGATTATAGTTGATTATAATGATGCTGGTTTGGCTCTGGAAACATTTATTCGACTATATCAAGCATTGGTTGGCCTTTGATCACAAAGAGCACATTGTTGTTGTTTCAGTCAAGTGACCCGCAGAGCCCATAAGCCTCTTTTGGTTTCATTGTACACTCCAGAAGTTTGTTAGTCTCTGGTTAAATAGCAGTGTCATCGTTTTATTTACCAACAAAACACAAGCCTCTCCTACAAATGAGCACTGAAAGTGATCGCCGGACATATGGTTTCTGTGCAGTATTGCCAGAAGTGCCATGAGTAAAAATGTTACTATTTACCCCACCTGCGGGGCAAGTTGTAACAGACAGGGGGTTAGTTGTAACACATGCTTAAAAAGTCAGATAAAACACAATTAATTTAAATTTAGTTTACTTAGCTATATTTTCTCAGTACCTAGCTCAATTTATTTTTTATTCTACATAGCACATGTTCATTTATTGATTGGATAAACTCATTTGGATTTATTTGTATTATTATCCATTATTATACAATGCATTTATTTGTAGTATTAGCAATAAAATGTTTTGTCTATCAAAAAAAATTCTATTAAAATTATTTTATTTAAAAAGTTCCTAACATTACACTCAAAAAAAAAAAATTTTGTGTAAGATTAATTGCTTTCGAACTGTGTGTGGTTTAATTGTATCGCCCTGTTACAACGAACCCCGCTGTGTCGTGTTTTCTTCAAAGCTGGCTAGCAGTCACTGTGTTTTTTACATCTTTCGAAATTGTTCCATCATATAGCCTAGAAAACAGTGATCACAGCAATCAAAGATTTACATACATACTTTCACAGATTTTTTTTTAATTAAAAAAATGTTGACTATAATAAAAATACTTTTATGCTGTAAAAATTACTTCTCCTGTGTTTCTTGTCCAAACTTTGCCGAACTTTTTCAATATTTGGCAGGAAGATGCCTGCCAACACTGTGGAGAAAACCCCGGAATCATGCCATGGTCAACCCTGAGCAAATACCTTAAAACTCTGTGTAACTATTAACCCTGTGTTACTTTGTGCCCTGTGCTCCCCCACACCCAATGCTGTTGCCTATAAATATGCTCAGATGTTTTCTTTAACTCTAGTGTATTGTTACTACCCTTTCATTATGTTAGTGGCTGTTTTTGTCCCATTGACCTCCATTATAATGACACTTTTTGATTGTAAAGCCTTGACACCAAATAATAATGTGTTCTTGATTGTTTTCCTGGTTGAGAAGAGGAAACATTTGTCATTTTTACTGTTGATCATTAATTTGCTCTATTAACTCTTTAGATAGGCCTGTGCAAAAAAAAAAAAGTGTCCGACTTTCATATGGAGTTCTTTTGAGTTTAACGTGCGTGTGTGTGTGTGTAAATACACTCGCTTGTAGAATTTTAATAGATTCAGTGTTAAATCATAGATTCCACATATGGAAGTTTAAGTTGACAGATCTTCAGGTTGTCTGTAAATCTGTTGAGTAACATGATTTTGTCTTTGTCTCTAACAGGATGAAGCGTTTATGAATCAGATGCCTCATCAGAACCAGCAGCATGTGGAGGCTGTAGCCAGTAGGGGACCAAATCAGATCCCTGAACCACAGCCTGAGGAGCAGCCTGAAAGACCTCAGCAGAGAGATTTATTAGTAAATGGAAGAGTCTGTGGGGTTCTGCGTGGTCTTCAGTCTGCTCGTCCTGAGAACAGGTTAGTCAGTCTTTACTCAGTCTTAGAATTAAAAATGAGTCTATATATTGTATGTATATGTTGTATTTGCATTATTTTTATAATAAGATATTATAATAAGAATTAAAATTGTCACATATGACTTTTTTTACCCAACACTAATGCTTATAAATATGCTCAGATGTTCTCTTTAACTCTTGTGTATTGTTACCACCCTTTCATTATTTTAGGGGCTGTTTTTGCCCCATTGACCTCCATTATAACGAGACATTTAATTGTAAAGTCTTGACATCATATAATCATGCATTACTGATTGTTGGTGGCTTTTTCAGTTGAGATGAGGAAACATTTTTACTGTTGATCATTAGTTTGCACTATTAACCCTTTAGATAGGCCTGTGCAAAAAAAGTGTCTGACTTTTATGTGGAGTTCTATTGAGTAAATCAACTCATAGTGTGCGTGCATTAATACTTACAGAGTTTTGGTAGGGGACCAAATCGGATCCCTGAACCACAACCTGAGGAGCAGCAACAGAATGAACCTGAGAGACCTCAGCAGAGAGATTTAATAATAAATGGAAGAGTCCGAGGGGTTCTGCGTGGTCTTCAGTCTGCTCGCCCTCTCAGAAGAATGAGAGAACAGGTTAGTTCCTGCTTTCTGTTTTACCCAGAATTAAGAATTCGTCTACACTGAATGTGCTTTTTTCAGAATTGTTCCCCAAAAGAAAGTTTGGTCAAAATAAGAAATCAAAACATCCTCAACAGCACACAAGGGTTAGAAGTTTTGTATCTGAAACTGACAGAAAGAGATGTTCATGATTATGTCTTTTCTTCAGCAGGACGACATTGTCAATCTCCAGAACCCTCCTCCGGCAACCTCGGCCTGGTCCACCGCCTATCTACATTCGCAGGACGGTGGTGGGCAGCATTGGAGATTTTGCACGCCATTGATGAGGAGCCTGAAAGATCAGCCTCAAAGATGAACAAATAAATCAATAAAGAGATTTTTAAACAGAGTTCTGGAACTATATTTATGCTTTAAAGAGCATCTTGTCAATGCCACAGCCTGCCTGAGTACTGTTACTGACCATGTCCATCTCTTTATCACCACAGTGTATGACCATCCGTGTGCGTTTCCTCCAGTTTCCAGAATAAACTAAATTGGCCGTAGTGAATGTGAGTGTATGAGTGTTTCTCAGTACTGGGTTGCAGCTGGAAGGGTATCCACTGTGTAAAACATATTGGAGAAATGACATTGCAATAATTTACTCTGCTGCGATATACAGTACAGTTAGGTTCATAAATATTTGGAAATCAACACAATTCTAATACTGTTGGCTCTCTACACCAACACAATGGATTTGAAATGAAACAAGATGTGCTTTAACTACAGACTGTCAGCTTTAATTTGAGGGTATTTACATCAAAATCAGGTGAACGCTGTAGGAATTACATTTGTAAATATACGCCACATTCAGTCACTTAAATCACCTTTCTTCCCCATTCTGATGCTGGTTTGAACTGCAGCAGATCGTCTTGATCATGTCTACATGCCTAAGTGCATTGAGTTGCTGCCATGCGATTGGCTGATTAGAAATTTCCATTAATGAGCAGTTGAACTGGTGTACCTAATAAAGTGGCCGGTGAGTGTATATATATACCGTATATAGCAGCAATCAGATTTATTTTTACTCACCTTGCAATGTGATATGAAATCGTCACCAGTAGATGGAGAAAAAAAAGGATATGAATAAAAATATGCATTTTGAAGCTTTTTTAGTCCTCTACAAACAAAAATCTCAGTAATAAAATGGGTAGTTCATGTCGTCGAGTCTGAGTTTGTCCTTGATTCTGCAGCTTTTGCTTTGGTAAATAGTCTGCTATCAGTATTGCGCCAAAGAAACCTTTATTTGTTTCATTTCCTTTGTTTTTATTTTCGTGAAACCTTGCTGCTCTTAGGAAATAAGCATGAAGCTGTGGTTTATAGTGAATTTATAATGGTACAGTACATCACTCCACATAAATACCCCTTTTAAATTCACTGAACCATTGCTTCTTTTGGCTTTCTGCTTTATTTTTTCTGAATCCTCACTTTAAGCTCAAACTAATTTTAATTTGAATTTTGTTTGTACTTCTTTTTTAAAAAATTAAGTGAAGTTTATTCATAAACTAATTTCGAGAGGATCACGTGCTTATGATTTATCACGTCCAGTCTCGCATTTGCTAATCACTAATCTTCCAATCATATGAGCCCTAAGGCACCATAAATAGTCTAAGTTTCCAGTTCACTTTATCTTCGTTTGGAAGACCGCTCAGCCTCAGACTGTGCTCCAGCTATCCAATTATAGCCGCTCATCTCCAAAACAGCAACTTCTACAAACAAATCCAGCATTTATTCATCATCATCACCATCATTATCATCCGCAACTGCTACCGCTATCTTCTATTCCCTCCAACAATCAATATCTCCAACAAAACAAGCCATCATGAACAACGAGAACCTCAACGAGCAAGCTAACAACCAGCCAGACCTTCTCAACTCTCCCTCCGAAAACCAACCTCTCCCCGCTCCGCCTGGCTCTCAACCCGAACCCGAGGCCGTCACAAGAGGCCGACGCATGACACGCTCCACCGCTACCAGGTCCCGTCAAAACTTATCACCAACGCAATCCACTCCAAGGCAACAAATCTCTTCACCTACCTCATCTTATATCTCCGCAACCTCCTCAGTCATCCATCCAAGTAGAATCACCGTATCAGAAATCAGGAACAAGCTCGCCATCCTCGGAATCAACGCTCCCAAAAATCTCAAAAAACCGGAACTCCTTAAACTTTACAAAAACGCAACATCGGACTCCCTTCCCTCTGCAAGTCCTCCTCCAAGATCAGCCGCTCAGGAAAATCCGATTCGATTCACTCCATACCCGCAAGCCTCCCGTTCACAACCAGGAAAGAAGAAGTCAAAACAAAAACACACAGCAAGCCACTCCCACGCAAGATCGCAACACCAGGAAACCCAGCCGCCTCCGATGACGTCACTCATTCTCCCACAGCAGGACTCCATTCAAGAGAACCCAGCCTCTCTCCCTCTCCCTCTAACTCTTTCTACCCCCTTCTCCTGGCCCCCCGCCCCCTCTAGCTCTCTCA